GGAACAACTGCGATGGCTAAATTGTCTTATACAAAGGTAGTAGTAATTTATTAGCCAATCGCAGGCGAATAAAATGACTTGGAGTGTATGTGGGTGGGAAAAACATAGCAATCGCTATAAGACATATCCCCCACCACAAAAATATTTCCAGAAAGCTTTTTAATAAAATAACTTATTTCAGTAAAATATTCATTTATCCATGAATAAGTGCTGAAAATCCCGGATGAATCGGATAATTCCCTGATTTTTGACAAATATTTTCCAAAAAAAGGATAGCTATATTTTGTTTTCATTTCGGAATAAAGCATAGGAAACATCTATCATTATTTTTAATTATATCCATATAATTATATATATATATATATATATATATATATATATATATATAAAACAAATGGGTATATATATATATATATATATATATATATATATATAAACAAATATATATAAAACAAATATATATATATATATATATATATATATATATATATATATATATATATAAAACAAATGGATATATATATATATATATATATATATATATATATATATATATATATATATATATAAAACAAATGGAGTATAACTCCACTGTACGTAACATTTAATTTAAAAGAGTGCTCAATACAGAGTAGATGTGTGACAATTTGGATAAATTCTATTTTGAAGTTTCGACGATGGATCGGCTTCATCAGAAGAATTTTATTGCTACAAAAAATATATATTCTCAAGGCAAAAGTTAAATTTACTTACATTTATCATTCTGTCGGATTCTCATATTGACTTTCCTACTAGATATTATATATATGGGGGAGAGGAAAGAAAGAGAAAATTCTATCTATCTATCTATCTATTTCAGCCTCTTTATCTATCTTGTAAAAAACCACAAGTGTGGAGCACTCAATGAGGATTGAACTCGCTACTGATGCTATCACTTTGATTCCGCTTTATTTTTTCTTAATGGAAAGATTTTATTTATTTATTTTGAAAGACCTACTTTACTCACGCGGAAAATATAACTTAACCTTACACGAATTCTTTTATCTTGCACCCTGCAGAATTCCTTGATGTGACCTAAGGTGTAGTTTTATTAAAAAATAAAATATTTTTTAACAGTGGTGTCAAAATATTCCAAATTCATATTTTACAAGCACAAGCAGGAAGTGCACTTAATTCTGTCAAGCAAATGTAACGATTTTTATTCAAAACGTCAATTGAGCTTAAGAAGATTATCTGAAATTTTATTGCGACAAAGTGTGATGCTTCGTTGCAATCACTTGTCTTTTTAAATTTTTAAAATGACATCAAGTTCCAACTCACACCACCTTTTATATTCGTAACTAAAATCTATTTAAGCGTTTTAGTCTTAATTTATGACAGATAAGAATCGGAAGATTGTGTAGTGTCAATCGTCAATCGACTGCCCGGCCTTCCTTGAAAATCAGCATTCAAAATTCAAGCATTTTAATTCGTCTCTAACACTATTCAAAAATGCACAACGAATCCACCTGTCAATAAAACTAAATCCAACTTAGGGCTTATGATCAAATCTAGTCAGACAAAAGGCCACAGTTTTGAAGTGCCTTTCTAACCAATGCTTCTCAGTGAGACGCCCTCAACCTCGTTGGTTGAGAAAACGCAGTAAGCAATTTGGAAACTTGTAGTTGCAGTTATCATTAGTAGTTTATTACTCTTAGTAAAGTACTAAGTTTACTTTAAATAGATATTTTCCGAAGGTCTGTTAAAGTCGTACACAAGGCCACGAGAATGGAGCGTCTAGTAAGTTTACCCACCGTTTTTAACGCAGGTGTGTAGTCATTGTTTAAGTTTGACTCTTTGAGATAGACGTAATAATAGTAGTTGTAATATGTCAGTGAATTGAATTATTAGTAGTTGCAATAGTTTCTCTATTGTACAATCAAATGTACAAGTCTTTTTTTCGCGGGTGGGGGCTAATGTTTCAGACATTTATCAGAAAAAATGGTGATGACAACGAAAGAAAAACAAAAGGAAAAGAAAAGACTGGAAGAAGCGTGAAAGAAAGAAAAGAAATAACGGAGACATGAGAAATAGGTAGAAAAAAAAAGCATTTTAAAGGTAGATAACAAAAAAAAAAAACTCTTGGAGAAGACACTGTTCTTGTGTGGGTGGAGACGCGCGCGCACCTCTGTGTGTGTCTGTGTGCGTGTGTGTGTCTGTGATACCGTTTGCCACCCCAGCATCTTTCGCTAATCTTTGTCGCTTCTTGCATAGGAAAGCTGAAATGGTTAGATAATAATAATAATAATAATATTAATAATAGTCGTCGTAATAGTAGAAAGAAAGAAAGAAAGAAAGAAAGAAAGAAAGAAAAGAAAGAAAGAAAGAAAGAAAGAAAGAAAAGACATTTGCAGGTGAGTAGAGCTAGGGAGAAAGATAACATTTACATTTTTTTTTAACTAAATTTAAAAAAAAAAACTAATTAATTAACTGGTTAATTGCTTTTTTGCTCATCGTTATTTATTTTGATTTTATTTATTTTTTGGGGGGTACAGCAGTTTCCGAAATACGGGTATCATCATCCATAACTATTACTAAACTACTACTACTAATCGTTGCTAATCTCCATTCCTCTCTTTTACCTTGTCGTTTTCATCATCACGTTCCAATGCTGTCATCACAGAATCAACCCTCAACAATAAGGAAAAAAATGAATAATAACATTTCTAAATAGTTGTTGCTTTTGTTGTTGTTTAGGTTTGAAACGTAAAACGAAAAGAACCTGCCTCCTCTTCCATAATCTATGATCGTCTAAAAATCCAGTTTCGAATATAAAAAAAACAAAGCTTTCATACCAAGGATTAACAAGAAACAAACTATCACCTGTTTTTTTTTTTTTGTTTTTTTTTTTAAATACACACTTGGCTGTCAAAAAACGACTGGAAGGAACCCGAGATGGACAGGACTAAACTTTAAATTAAAAATATATGTTTATATTTTTTAAACGCAAACAAAATATACAGAAGTAAAAAACAAACAAGAAGACAAAAAAAAAAAAAAAAAAAAGTCAGGGAAGGTGGAGCCGTCAGCATCAACCACCCCACCCCAGAGATGAGTTCGGTTGGCCTTGGTACCACAGAAACCTCGGCTGTTGACCAAAAACGCACGCGATCTTCACATCATCATCATCATCACCACCACCATCACCATCATCACCATAGCAAACACCAAAATTATGAGAGGCTTTCTCGGACTAATTCTACGACAAATAGCGGTAATAATCAGGCTACAAAATCATCGACTGGCAACAACGAAGGTAGCAAAAGCCAGAGAACAAACGTGCGACATAAAACACGTAAGTCATTTATTTTGGCTAAATTTATTTTGTTTTATTTTTATTACATTTCGCTTTCGACCACACTTAGGAAAGAATGAGTGAATAAAAGCGAAAAAAAAAAAATAACCCCCACAAAAGAATGAGAAAAGTCAACTCACCGTGATAATGCAACTGAATGACTATTTTTTAGTTTAGTTAGTTTATTTTTTTTGTGGGCCACGTTTTATTTGAGAAGCATTTATCGACTACTGCCGAACACAAGCTCAGTGATTGAATGGGAATGCATGACTACATAATGTTTGTCTTGGTTCGTCACGACATCACCCCTATTTGACTATCGGTCAGTCACAACACAATGTCTTCTCCTTTATTTACTTTAACTTCGTGTGATCTCTAGAGAATTTATTTTTTAGCTCATTATCTATCTATCTATCTATCTATCTATCTATCTATCTATCTATCTATCTATCTATCTATCTCTATTCCTATTTTCTTATCTATCTGTCCTTATCTCTGTCTATTAGCCTCTTTCTATCTATCTATCTATCTATCTATCTATCTATCTATCTGTCTGTTCTTATCTATCTATCTATCTATCTATCTATCTATCTCTGTCTGTCTGTCTGTCTGTCTGTTCTTATCTATCTATCTATCTATCTATCTATCTATCTATCTATCTATCTATCTATCTATCTATTTACTATTTTTCTACATTCGCAATGTTGGTGAACCATGATTTAATTTTAATTAATATGAAAATATTTAACTACTTATGTCCGTTTGCATATTCCCTTTTCCAAAATCAGCTTGGTGGTTCTCCCTCTGATTGCATACCGAGACCTTCAGTTTGGGAAACAGAAATAATGTTATCTATTTGAAAGAAATCTACATCTCTAAATTCAGCCCCAAGCTGAGCACCCCTTTATGTGCGCGATCAGTTTTTAAAACTGAAAGAACCACGTGACACAAAAACATTTATTTACTTTTTTTCTTCTGTGTTTTCGAATCGTTTTTCTTCCAACAAAATGGTGGATAGAAAAAAAATCTTTTTTTAAATAAAGGTGTTTTTATATATAAATGATGCGTTACATAAATTTAAATTTTAAAATGAACAAAGGATTATTTTGAGAAGTGTCAAAAAAAATGTTCACAAAAATATGAAGCCAGAGTTTTACTCACGAGATAAGTTTTTATCTGGATATGAATTGTAATCCAATGCTTTTAAATTTGAAAATACAGCCGTGTTAACTGTTAACTCTATGTTGTTAGTTCGTTATTGCATATTAACATTTTTCTTATACAGTATGATTTTATTTTGAAAACAAATTTTATTTCATTCCAAAACAGAAAATGATCACAGCAACTATTAATCCAAATTAAAGTGTCCATTGTAAAATTATCCGTTTATTAATGAAAAACGTAAAAAGAAAAAAAATTAAAAATGATATCAAACTATTCCTCTGTATTTACCAATGTTAAAACTTTCTTTTTTTAAAAAAAATAATTAAACCTTAGAATAGATGGCATCAGGGGGTTCTGAAAGGTGTAAGAAGATACAATAAAATTCGTGTATTTTGCACGTGTCTAAAGTAGGCCTTTCAAAATAAATAAATTGCCATTAGGAAAAAATAAAGCGGAATGAAAGTGATACCATCAGTAGTGAGCCCAATCCTCATAGGGCGCTTCACACTTGCGGTTTTGTACAAGATAGATAAAGAAAAAGCTTAGATAGATAGATAGATAGATAGATAGATAGATAGATAGATAGATAACACTAACAGGCTTAGATAGGTAGATAGCGTTTTCTCTCCCCACCCCGTGTGTGTGTGTGTGTGTGTATGTGAAATCTGAATGAGAATCCGACGGAACATTTTGCTTCGCTAATATTCATTTTGTTACAATAAAATTCTCTCTGATGCAGCCGATCCATCGTCGAAACGTCAAAATAGAATTTTCCAAATTGTCGCATATAGCTATGAGTTTCATGCACAATGCAATCGTCACCAGGTGCTGCACCTGACGCTTGCATCGTGCATGAAACTTATAGTTGTGTTACCATGAGGAATATTTTTTTTTATTTATATAAATTTTAGCGCTAAATCGAACTTTATTATTAACGCTTGCATTCAATATATTGGTAAATAACAATCAAACTTATGCAGACATTGATGAAGCTGGCGTATATCTACAAACAAGAAGATTGTCTTCACTTTCCGAACTGGTAACTAATAATTAATTGAAGGTGACTGATTGGGGGTGTCTCTCCCAAATAAAAGCTTCTATTTGCACAAGAGGTATAGGGTCCTGGCACAACCTTTTAGTAATATCAAACAATAATAACAAAGAATGTAATTCGAATAAAAGATTAAAAAAAAATTGGTCAACCAATGATAATGCTGGAAAATAGCGTTTTTATATTTATTTTTTAAAAGCAAGCAGACATTGAAAGGAAAGTCAACAATATTAAGAGACATTAATTAAGCATCATCATCATCATCATCATCATCACCATCACCACCATCATCATCATCATCATCATCATCACCATCATCATCATCATCATCATCATCCTTCTTCTTGGAGTACAGTTCAGAGTGCAGTCTAACAGTCTGGCATGAGACATGAGAAAACCTCCCAAATCTTGATTACTGAAGCTATGACATTATGATTATTACTATTATTATTATTACTAGCTTAAAAGCCGCCCTCGGGCGGCATTTAAGTTATCTCCTGCGGAGGGTTCTTAATTGGGCCTTCCTCCCAATAGATAAGGAGGAGTAGATGCGATAGACAACAATAAACTGCAGAAGAACCCCAAATTGATCGCTGCGTTTAATTATTGCATTAATATTTAAGCTTACCTTTTCAAAGTTCAATGATAATTCTTCTGTCGCCACTTAATTTAAAGACAATTTGATGTACGTAGGTCCTTACTTTCCGTGCAAAAAAAAAAAAAAAAAAAAAATCGGCACAAAAATTGCCGAAAACAATCACAGTAATGAAAACTTGGAAATTCATAATTTCAGGATTACATTCCCGGAATGTTTTTAATTTGCTCACGGAGTCGGCCTGATTCCAAAAATGGTTTAATATGTTGGGCTACGGCCTTGAAGAGTAAAACAGAAAAAGTGTGACACAGTGACACACTGACATTAGCATTTATTGTATAGAAGATGAGCTATTGAATGTTAAAGAGTTGCCTCCCTTAATTGAAAAAAGTGTGACACACTGACATTCTAATATATTATATAGATTATTATTATTATTATTATTATTATTATTATTATTAGGGTGTATCAAACATTTTTTACAGAACTTTACTTCTTCTATTTGCCATGTTCCTTCAGGACGTGGGCGGTCATGGCTTTCCATAACTTTCTGTCCTTTGTTGCTCTTAGTAAGTTTTGTCTTTTTGCCATCTCTTCTAATTCATCTTCCGCCAACTTTTTAAACAATCTCATTCTTCTTCTTTCTGTCGTGTCTTTCTACAGGACGTGAGCGATCATAGTTCTCCACAACTTCCTGTAGTTTGTAACAATTAGTATATGTTGTCACAATCTTCTTCTTCTTCTTCTCCTCCTCCCCCTCCTCCTCCTCCTTCTTCTTCTTCTCCTCCTCCTCCTCCTCCTTCTTTTTCTCCTCCTCCTCCTCCTTCTTCTTCTTCTTCTTCTTCTTCTTCTTCTTCTTCTTCTTCTTCTATGTGCCGTGTCCCTTCAGGTTCTCCACAATTTTCTCTTAATAACTTTTTTTTTTTTTTTTTTACCACCTCTCTTAATTCCTGCTAACCATTTGTACAAGTTCGATTCTTTCCTCTGCTATGTGAGTGTCAAATTTTCTAAGCCTTCTTTCTTCATGTACCCTAGAAATTTTCATTTATCTCTTTCTGATATTAAGTATCATCATCACCCACCCGCCGACTGTTTCAATCGTGGGGGTGGGGGTCAAGTGTAGAAGAATGATCCTTTCAGTGGGTTTTCACATAGGTTGGTGGTGCCCATCTCCTTTCCAAATTTGACCGACAGCCGAAGACCACGGAATAGGGCGTGGGTCGACCTAGGCCCTCATGTTGTGGATTCAAAGTTATCTTTCTCCTAGACCTGTTGCCGCCCTAAGGACACTGTCTGTCCTGCTATCTAACCCATAGCTGGAGGGAGAACAGATGGATTCATACCTTTCCCGAGGGTATTAGCAGTATCCCCTGTGAGGGTTGTTTTCCAAGTCTCCCTTCCTCATTATGTGTCCAAGAAACTTCAGTTGTCTTTTCCCGAATCTGAATATGTGTTCTTTCTTTTAGCACTTCCTTGTTGTTTGCTCGCTCCGTCTATGGAATGCTTAGCATCCTTCTGTAGAACCACATTTCTGCTGCTTCTAGGTTTTCCCCTCATTCCTGGAGAAATTGTCCAACATTCACTGCCATTTAAGAGGATGGATACCATATAGATATATTTTTCTTTTGTTTCTAACGAGATAAAAAAATCTCTTATTTAAAAGACAAAATTGCAAATACTCTCAATTAGTGCAAGCAAACCATATAATAATTATCAATGTATATTTATTTATATATTTCCTGTCACATCTCTAGTGGGAAGGGAGGTAAATCAACTTAAGGTAGTAAATTTATGAGTGATTACTTCCCTTAGCCGTTTTAATAATCTATACATATAGAATATTTATCTGCATTTAAACAAAATTAATTCGCGAGCAAAATGAACCGTTTAAATAATCAGTTCCATTACTCCTAAGTCTCTTAGGTTGCAGTCTTATTTGTTTAAGCCTTTCATGTGAAGCATTCAGATACGTTCATCTATTAAGTAATTGTCTTGCTTCAACTTGGTCTTGAAATAGCTTTTGTCGCCATCTTTGTAGTTTTATTGCTAATCTTTTTCTTCCGAGAGATATTCCCATTTTACTGTTATCTCAAACACATAAAATTTTCAACATGAAAATATATTGAGCAAAAAACGATTCATCAGGAGTAATCAATAAATCATAGATATCATTACATTTATTTACAAGTAACAATTGCTTTCAAAGAAATACATCACCGTTTTTTATTAATGTTGCCACAAAAAAATACACGAATAACTATGAAGAGGTAAATTTAGTATTAATAAGTGCAAATTCATGTTCCTATAGGATTTAAATAGATTTTAGTATTGCATTGGTATCCAAGATTCAACACAAACTTGGTCTATAAATATAGAATTAGATTTAAATAATTCCCTATGGTCTTTTTTTCTCTCTTTTTTTTTGTCCTTTAAGAGAATTTTGTCCAGTGAAGATCATAAAATGGAAAATTCTCTTGAATAAAGGAGGAGATTAGAAGAACAATAACGAGAACGAAGTCAGCGACTACGCTTATCTCAGGATCAGACACGGCGAGCAGGGGGGCTGATAAGCAAAGATATTCACAGAAACATCGTGATGGTAATAAGAGCACAAGCCAGGAGACGCGAGGCTCAGAGGCCAAATAATGAGACAGAAGAAGAGGGGAATAGGAGGAGAGCAGCACAAAGAAGACAAAATGAAATAGAGGAAGTAACTTGCGCAAAAAAGAGATGATATGAGAGAAGGTGTAGCTGAAAGGATTCAAAATGAAACAGAGGAAGAATCTAACGCACGAAGAGAAGATATGAGAATGCAAATGGAAGAATGTCTTTGACAAGAAACAGAAGAGCAGTACAACGGAAGAAGAAATAAGAATAATGGCGCCATGAGAAACGTAAAAAATGCACAAAACAAAGTTCATGGAGTAAATAATTTTCTGTTCACTGAAGCCAATTATCAATAACATAACTGCAGTAGATAAAAAATAAGGTATCATTTTTTACGGCATTGGTACACTATTAGATAAATAAAACACAAAGTATGCAGCTGTTGATAACAGTTGTTTACAAAAGGTATTTCTTATATTACCCGTATTTATTCTTTGGGAATATCAGCTTAATTGAACGTCTTTTATCTCAAAGACAGGAAAGTCAAGGAAACTGATTAAAAAAAGAGAAGAAATGGAATACGCATGATCTTTTACGTTTAGATAACATTAATATTACAACAAAGAACCTTTCCTAAAAAATTCGAAAATAACTTTGCATTGATCAGCGCAGAGTTAGCTCTGTGGTTCTAAGACACTAAAGACCGCGCTACGGGTGTCGGCGGCGTCGAAAGGTGTTATAGGTCAATGCAAAGTTTTAGTCCGAATTAGTTTGATTGATTGATTGATTCGTTTTTTGCAACTTATCAAAACTTTGCAGGTTAAATAAAACCAGAAAATATTTTTTGATTATAAGATTTTTTTGCGATAATAATGGTTTAGTGACACAAGTCTTGTTAATTAACCCATAGTTGGGGGGAAGTGGTGGATCCATATCTTTCTCAATTGTATTTTCGCGTAACTGAATATAAAGAAACCAATGAGAATTGGAACTTGGCTCTCCGATTAACAATTTCAAGCTATTAACCATTACACCACCTGCACATCCAAGCTTACAGCATCTTGTATTCCCACGCGGTCACCCATCTTGGTACTGACTAAGCTCGACATTGCTTTACTTCGGTGATCGCGCGGGAACCTGTGTTTCAATGGGATGCGGCCGTAAGTCAAGGTAATTTGTCCCGGGCAAAACCTAGTTACCTTAGTAGTAGCAATCTTTTAAGTAGTTTTTAATAAATTGCCGAAATATGTAGGTGGTGGTACCAGAAGGTTCCCTGACTAGGATCTCCAGTCAGATTCCATAAGTGAATCTAATTAGATGAGAGAGCTGATGAATATTTCGGTTAAGGTCCTCATGGATTATTTTGAGGATTTTTTTTCCACATTTTCTTGTATATTTTTTTAATCATTTCACCCCAAGCAAGGCGATAATGCCACCAAGACGCAAGTGGGGTACTGGAAGTGAAAGAAAATGGGAAAACTTTAGGAGAAGGTAGCGGAAACCCAATCGTAAACAGAAAACAAAGGATAAACCTCTAGAAATGTTCAAAAGACGAGGATTGAGTGTAAACGGGGCGATAGGCAAACCTATTTACTCCTGTTTTGTTTGCTCTGAGTGGTCATCATCATGAACCGTCACTCAACCAGCTTTGCACATATAGAATATATACCGAAAGCCTAACGAAGCACTTCGAGGTTTTCAGTATACATTTTCCGAGTTTCACGCAGAATTTGGTGAATGCACATTGCTTGAAGTTGTCAGTCTTCACAAGATTCGCAGAGTTGAGCCAACACAACCGCGCGAAAACCACACTTAATAACAGGAACGCGATAGTACCAAATTAAACTTCTTCCTCTCACGGGAAACAGCCTCAATCAGTAACCCTCTATCTTGAGTGGCTCATGGGCCTTGTAATGGGTGAACAGTTATTGGAAAAATGTCTTTAGACAAACTAATTCAGTGGGTTTGGTACGAGCGAGTATTAGCTGTGCGCGCCTTTCTGTTGAATGATAGAACCTCAACAAGAACTATTGGATACTACTTTGTAAACGTGACGGCAGAAAGAACACTTATACTCAAAATCAGGAGAAAAAAAAACTGCTGAATTTCCTTAGATACATAATGAGGACAGAGAGCTTAGAAAACTTAACCCTCACGGGGCGTATAGAGAGATAGGGGAAGACATCGAACCATTTACCTGGCGAGCTTGTTTGTGTAAATGGGTGGCCGGACGTGGCCTTAGCAAAGGGTTTGGTTTGGTTTATTTTGTTGTACAGCATATCTACCTCAGTGGGTTATTTAATACCGACAAAATTTTTTATTGCTGGTAATATTTTGTTTTGTCAAAAATCTGTTTTTGGTAATATTTTTCCTTCAAAATTGTATGGCTGGTAATAATTATTTTCAAAAAATTATTGCTGGTAATAGTTAACTATTTTCTCATAGCTGGGACCCTAACAGGTGCTACCACTCCGGGTCAGGGTGGACCTGGGAACACCAGCAATTAAGAGGTGATTCCACGCTCCTCAAAACCTCTTGGTCAGAGGTCTTGCTGCTAGACGTAGTTTATCGTCTTACCCTGGACGCGGATGTAGTTTAATGTCTTACCCAGGACAACCTTAGCAAAGGAAGATAAACTACTAAGTGCTACACGAGATAGAAAGTTGTGGAGAGCCATTATCCTGGAGGGACATGGCACATAGAAGAAGAATGCTAATATCGATTTAAAGAATCGATTGATTTATTTTAGAAAAAGAATTATGACTGCATATCAGCAACCCCCTTGTATCTTAGTGGCTTTATTGTCTTCTATTCAGTGAATCTGATTAAAAAATATATCATGCGACTTCTGAAGATCTAAGTTTGTAGCTAATTTTACCTACGCGGATCGTCAGGGTACACTAGTTAGATATAGTGAATATAAATCTTTTCCCTTGTTTATGTTTATAAGATGTTTAGTTGTTTCTCGTTTGTTTGTTTATGGCTGTACGCGTTTATGCAACGAGTATAGCGTTACTAACGATACTTTTATCATTCTCTTTTACATTTTTTTTAAACTTATTTAACTAAAAGAGGAGATAAAGAGGGAGAGGAAAAGAGCACTATTTACATTATTCGGACCATTGTCCTCATCTTTGTTGCCTTATTTATTACAACGTTTCGGCCGTTGTACGATCCGGCCTTCTTCAGGTGGTTGGAATGTCGAACTAAACCCTTTATTTCGCTCACTGGGGTAGACTGTTCTAGTTCCACGTGCCATGTTTAATGGATGTCAGTTATCAGTTATCGTTATAGACACAGAGGAAAAAAGTTTAGTCTATTGTAATTTGGTCTCCCAAAAAAGAATACACGAGATACATGATAAAGTCATTTTTTTATAAGTGTTGGGTGGAGGTTGCACGATACGCGATATCGCGCGTTACATGGCGATATACGGTATGTATAATATTCATATGTTAGTAAATTTGAATGCATCAATTTTCAATCAAAAGAACGATTTTCTCCGATTTATTTATTTTTTTTAATCCCATGGTTTTATGCTCTTTGGCCTTTTTCTCAAGTGCATCATTTTTCGAATTAATTCCGTACAACTATTTATGTAATTATGAAATCGATGAATTAAAAAAAAACAAACGCCAAAAACATCGGTCATCAACATAACATTTTGTCCATTCAGTGAGTCCCGTGTCGCCCCAGAACAAAGGTAATCATATCTCTCAACAGCTTACTTTTCTTTACTATCTGTAAAATGTATATTGTGAAACAGACTCCCGAGAGGATGCTTCCCCGATCACTACAATCGTAACCTCTTCAAGTCTAGGTTCAAGTCGTGGGTCAACTGTTAACTATCCTACACATTCTCATATGAATCGCACTTACAACAACCGCATTTAGTAAGCCTCTACCTTGAATGGCTCTTGGGCCTTGTATTGAGTAAACAATAGTAAACAAAAAATACCATGACTGCTCTTAGAAAAGATACCGAATTGCCTTGCCGTTACTTACTTTTAAATTTAGAGCTGGCCTTATCCTAGGCAGGTTGCCAACGAAAAACAACCCAGTCTGCTTTGCCATTTTACCCGTAAGTGGAAAGAGAATCATGCCTTTTATACGAGTATTATTACAAATTGAACTTAAACTGACTCGCAAATCTCACAAATCAACTAATAAATAAATTCAATAATAGACAAAGAACATCACTTACGAAAACTTAAGGAATCAGCACATATGCTAGGCCACAAAAATCTTCTGAGCCGACCAAGCATAGAAATGAATATAATACGGAAACCAGTAATATGGAGTGCTAGAGAAAAGCATTGAATAACAACAAAAATTGCAATATGAGTTCTGGTAAAAGAAATGCAATAATAATAACAGAAAAATTGCAATATGAGCATTGGTAAAAATGACTGCTGTGATATTAAGTTTATAAGTCCCAAAAATTCAAGTACACATGTTTCAAGGACAGATGGCCCAGTGGATAGGCCGTTGGTTAGATCCAGTGACTAAACCCAAAAGAGTTGTGAGTTCAATACCAAAAACTAGGAGAGTTGAGTTAAAGAGAAATAACTGAGACACCCGGAACTAAAACAATCTACCCCAGTTCGAAATCCCAATCACCTGAAGAAGGCCGGAGCGTACAACGGCCTAAACGTTATGAATATGATAATGATGATAACAGTCTGAGTAAAGTAAATAATGCAAGTAAACTCAATTTAAAAAAAAAAAATTATTTCTTTACCTCACGTAAATGTGAGTCTCTGTTATTTTCCTCTTGTTTCTATCGTCTTTTCTTTTCTTTTCTTTTCTTTTCTCTCCCCCCACCACTCGTGCAGGTCCCAGCCAACTGATTTTCCTCAGCTTTTGATTCGAGGACATTTTAATTGTCACAACTTCGTTTAATGGCGTTCCAGTGATTTCCAATTTGCTCAATTTCCACAAAACCAAGTTGATCTGTCGTGCTGAGACCAGGATTTTCTGCCAAAAATTTCCATTTCGGCAATAATTCCTACAAAGTCTTTGTAAACGCTGCCAAATTGTAAAATTCTATGAAATGAGTGGTTGTTTTATATACATATATTTTTGATCAACTTCACCCCATACAAGGCAGTAAAGCCACTAAGGCACAAAGGGGTTAGGGAGTGCGAAAGAGTAAGAAGAAAAAAAAAAAGAGAAAGATTAAGGAGCGAGAACAATAGAAGAAGATCGATCAAGAAGCCAAGAGATATCGATTGGCATTGCATAACTAAAAAAACAACAACAAAAAAATGTTTTCATACAAACATTTTCACCGCCAGTTTATTTATTTACAAATGAGTTAATAATTTTATTCTGCTATATGCCGTGTATCTTCCGGACGTGGGCGATCACGGCTCTCTACAACTTCCTATTATAGGAACGTTTGACTTTTTGTCATCCCTCCCGTTCTGCAATCCATTTATACCAACTCGTCAGGTATGTGGCCTGCTGCCTCCTCGCTGCCCTTTCCATCTTTGGTATATCCTGTGAGTGTCAAACTCTCCAAGCCCTCCTTCCATATTATTTGTTCAAGAACTTTCAGCTGTTGCTTCTGATTCTGTGTGTAAGTGCCCTTTTTGTTCTTGTTTTCCATAAGATTTGCATAAATCTGGTGGTGGTGGTGGTGGTAGTAGTGGTGGTGGTGGTTGTAGCTGGCCGCTCATATCCGAGAATGCTTGTCTATTAGGACGGCTACCCAACCCCTGTTGCTCAGGCACAATTGTGTTTGTTCAGCACCCACAGAGCCCACCTTTGGTTTATATTGCGACTATGCTGAGCCGACCTTAGTTACATTTTATAAGAGAGAACGCATTATCTTAAACAGCTGTTACAATGAAGGCTTCCAAATAGTTTCATCTACCCAATTTCCCTCGCAAGGCATGGGTCACTTTACAAAGTTGCCGAACCATGTGATCGCCTCCCAAGACCGATAAGATCAAGAAGTGACCTTCCTGATAAATCGACCATGATGAGATTCGAACCCGAGTCTCATGGTCAGAGCAAGCCACGCGCCCTATAAGTGTACATCTTTCTGCATTGTTCCGTGTAGTAATAGAGGATAGAGTAGAAATGAAAATCCGGATAGTAATAGAGGATAGACTAGGAATAGCGATCATTTTGACGAAAGCTAATTCCTACATATGCATTTCCTGTATGGTCACGTGGTCTACTTAATTCAAATATGGGATCGCCTGTGTTTGCTTACTGGCGATCTACTTTCAAACTCTAGTGACACTTTATTCCTATATAACACTAGTGTTCTGAATTATCATTTTTTTAAAGTTTTTACTTATTTCATTTTACTAATTCTAATTTTATATCCACATTTGAATGCACAATAAAGATATATATATATCTGAGATGAGGTATTATGACTGCTGACATTATTTACATTATTCGGACTGTTAACCTCATCTTCATTGTCATATTCACATCGCTTTGGCCGTTGTACGCTCCGGCCTTCTTCTGGTGATTAGAATTTTGAACCGAACCCTTTATTACGACAACCGGGGTAGGGTATTCTAGTCCCACGTGGTATACCTGGTCCGGATGTGAATACAGCAATGAAGATGAGGATAACAGTCCGAATAATATATATATATATATATATATATATATATATATATATATATATTTATATATATATATATTCATGAATTATTCACACAAAAACAAATGCAAAGGTTAATGATTTAATTGGCGAGACATCCATCATCGCAAACAATTCAAATAATATACAAAAACCTCCGAATCCGTTATGAATGAAAAGATCCTTGTTTCTATAAATTTCTGCCGTATTAGTTCTTATTTTTTTACTACAAGCTTTCGTCTGTTCCTACAGACATCTTTCAGGTATGGAATAGATGTTGTTCTTGTTTTTTCTCTTAGTAATAAGAGGACAACGAAAATATATGTATTGTTGTATCCGAAAATGCTATTGGAAATGAGTTATTGTTTTTGGAGCGTGCAATAGCAACGCTGAGTTTGATTTTAAATTTTTTACAGTTGTGCGTTCATGTACAAATATGGTGATAAACGAATTTTTTACTGGTAAATTTTCTGTCAAAGTGGCATGAACTATATTGTTCAATATATATATATATATATATAATTTCCCCCAAATAAGGCATTAAGCCACTAAAACGTAGCGTGAAAAAATATGAGTAAAAGAAGAACATTATTAAGGAGAGTAAACAATGAAAGAACAAAGACCTAAGTAAACAGAATATAACGATTGACATTGAATTTAATTTTTTGAAGATCAAAGTTGGCTGGAAAACAAAAAGCCGGAAGAGAATTCTACAAGCGAGAAGTGCGAGAGAAGAAACTATTGCCATGGAACAAAGTTAACATAATCATATCTCGCAATTTCAACTGTAAAATAATGGGACCTAGCTGCCAATCTAGTACTGCGTTTAAAGTCGGTGTATCGGAGAGGAAAGCTTATTAAAACAAATACCATGAAAATATTTATAGAAAAGGCACAGGGATGCAACACTATTGCGGTGGGAAAGTAACTGAAGTCAAGACCCCGTCCCCCAACACATATATATATATATATATATATATATATATATATATATAAGCAAATATATGGATATAGATCCGACAGTATGAAGAAAAATATATACGGAAAAAACAAACAAAAATCCTTATATACAAAAATCCTTATATACAATTATGCTGTTGGCTTATATACAATTATGACGTTGACATATTAACATTAAAACAGCATAATTGTATATAAGGATTTTTGTTTGTTTTTTCCGTATATATTTTTCTTCATATATATATATATATATATATATAAAGACATTTTTTATGTTTATACGTTCTTTTTTAAAGATACAAATATTTAAGTAAATGCTCTGTTTATTAGCAAGGTCGATTTTACTGTTTTTAAACTACAATTCTCCAGGATTTTCTCTCGTACATTTATATCTGCTCGATGCGTATCCAAATGTAAACAAATGACGTCACACATTATGAAATGGACAAAGTCCGACAATTATTTTAAGACATTTTTATGCTTATACGTATATATATATAAATACATAAATCAGTATATATATATATATATATATATATATATATATATATATATTATATTGGCATATCTTGGGGTTTGGTATACAAAATATGAAAGGTATATCTAACATTCTCTTAGATATGAACAAAGAGTGTGTTACAGATTTTGTGCGTTCAAAAGCAATGGCTACTGGCTTTTATGTATAGATGTATATTTTTGTGTTGGTTTGGAATTGCCTGAATAAAAACAAAAGAAGTCTGCCTGAAATTACATATATTTGTAAGTGATTCTGCTTTGAAAATTTCCAAAGTATTTTAACCTCAATATATTAGATGGTCGAATGCATCCTTTTTTCTTTCTTTCCTTCTTTAACTTCTTTTTTTAAACTTCTTTTTCTTTTCTTTTTTAACATTTTTCTTGAAAGAGCTTCTAACGTATGTGAGGAATTTGAACTTAACTTGCCTCTTCGAAGCCGCGCGTGAAATTGATAAGCTACAAAAAGTGAAAGTGAAAGTGATTGTTGGTTTTATGCCCAAACACAGAGAGTTTTTACTTAGAAACAAAGATTCTCAAACTAGAAGCACTTGTCCCCTTGAGTAGGAATTGGATATTCAGCTACTTTTTATGATCCATTCAAATAAAGATTGATTTAAAAGATTGGTTGCAGTTAATAAAGCAATTTGATTTCGGGAATTGTTATAATAAATGATTTTATAAAAGTATAATGGCGAAAAAAATACGAGATGAAAATGCAAAATGGAGGGAAAATTGAGGGAATCTGGGATCGCAAGGGGAGGAATGTGACCCTGGGACTCTGTGAACCACTCCTTTACACACTAAATACAATTAAACTATGCATTAAAAGGTCCAAATTCAAAATTGGGAAGGAATTTAGGAAACCTGGGGTAGCAAGGGAAGAACGAGATAGATAGATAGATAGATAGATAGATAGATAGATAGATAGATAGATAGATAGAAACAAGTATAGATAGATTGACCAGATTGAAGAGATAGATAGATAGATAGATAGATAGATAGATAGATAGATAGATAGATAGAGATAGAGAGAGAGAGAGAGAGAGAGATAGGAACAGTACTGGTGCGTCATAATCAGCTGGATACAGACATTTAACTGTCTGTGTTGTATTGCATCAGACAACGGAAAATGTGAAAGCATACCGAAATCGCGAAATATGCAGTCCAGAAATTAAGTACAGTATTAAGACATAGGAAAAGCGTACCGAACTGCTATACAATATCTAATCTTCTCTGAAGTACTTAATGTTGAACCACCCCTTCATACAAGGCCGGTGCAAGGGTCAAACCCCACCTGAATCTATGATACAGAACGTCGAATGTATGACACGCTACACCTCTCTATCATATCTCAGTTTTCATAAGGTAGTATTCATATAAAATACACATTTTATTGTAACAAATTATCTACAATAATGGATTTTATGCAATATAGGTGAAAAATTCGACTAGAAAAGTTAAAAATAAATCCAATGTCATCTAATGGATTATTCCGTGTTAAATACTCAACAATGTTTTTGCGGCAATTTTTCAACTCGGGATTTTTCTTGTTAAAAACTTGAATAATTTAACACATTTAATATTATGAATGAAAAAAATAGTGAATTTTATCAAGTGTTTTTTTTTTCGAGATTTAGCAGAAAGAAAAGAAATTCACGGATTTAGGCGAAGGAAAAATAACCAAGAATGACGTCAAAATCCGCGAAATATTTTTGTTCCTTTTATAATAGCCAGTTACGCTTAGTTTAATATGTAACGAATATAAATGTAGGTAGAAAAAAAGAAACTGTTGATAAGATAACGGGGGTCACAAAGCACTGCCTGGGGGCCTCCAATCAGGCTACCCACCACCTATCGCAGGGTTCGGGGTTAGTACGCACTGTCCCATTCCTCATAAATGAAAAAAACGATGAATATTGAAAGTATGTGTGTCTGTGTGTGTGGGGGGGGAGTTCCGATGGTTTCGAGAGACCATTAATCTGCACCCAAAGAATTATGGAGTGTGTCCTTCCCCGGTGCAGGCCCCTCGGTAGTGTTTTGGGAGAGAGAGGTGGTTGCCCATATACACGGGCAACCGCAAAACAATAGCAAATTGAAAGAAATGTAGAAGCCGCGAGGAAAATAGGAAATACACGGAATTTATACAAGCAAAAATATAAACAGTTGACATTTCTGGGTTACATAATGAGGAAAGAAGGCTTGGTGAATTTGACACTCATACGACATACTGAAGGCAAACGAAGCATGGGAAAAACGGCGAATAATATTCTTAGTGATTTGTGTGAATGAATGACGGAAAAAGGATTTTTTATTCTTCTTCTGTCGTAAAGGTATTTATAACAAAAATAGGAAGCTATGGGGAGTAATGATCTCAGACCGTCTTGAAAGGATATTGCACAAACAAGAAAAATAGTAAAATTTGAGAAGTCGAATAATCATGTACTTTGTCCTGTTCCAATGGTGGAATTTATTTTTTTAGGAAAACCTCTTCTTGTACGTTCCATATTTCTTTTATCTATGGAATTTGAAAAGCCCCCCCCCCTCTTTTTCTTTATATCCCTAAATATTGTTTTCGATGGATAGGAAATTTCTCCTGCTAACTCGGGTAGGGAATGTCTTTTCAATTTTAACGACTCCAAAACGAAACTTCTCTTTCTCTGAGAAACCCATTTCTACCATTTATCTTCATGGCTGATGCTGACCTCCAAGAGTTTGTGACTCATTGCAGTTTCTCGAACCAACATTCTCAGCTGACATGAAGCGGAAAGATTATATTGAATAAAATTGCGAGTATCTGTCTATATTTCTGAGATGAGGTATTATGTACACTATTTACATTATTCGGAGTATTGTCCTCATCTTTGTCGCCATATTTATTACAACGTTTCGGCCGTTGTACGCTTCGGTCTTCTTCAGGTGGTTGGAATTTCGAATTGAACCCTTTATTTCGCTCACTGGGGTAGACTGTTCTAGTTCCACATGCCATGTCTAATGGATGTCAGTTATCAAACAGTTATTAAACATGGTACGTGGAACTAAAACAGTCTACCCCAGTGAGCGAAATAAAGGGTTCAGTTCAACATTCCAACCACCTGAAGAAGATCGGAGCGTACAACGTTGTAATAAATATGGCAACAAAGATGAGGACAATAGCCCGAATAATGGAAATAATGTAAAATTTCGAGCTCTACTGTTAAGAAAGTTGGTTCACTGTGTCGTACTAGACAATGTTCTTTCCAGAATTTATCTCAACATATTTATAAGTCAGTCAGTTGTCTATGTTTTGAATATTGCTGCTACATATGGTCCGGTGCTCCTGGGATATATTTCGAGATTCTCGATAAAATCCAAAGAAGAATCAGCAATATTATTTGTCCTGTCCTGGCATCTCGGCTTCAGTCACTCTCCCACTACCCTCTGCCTTTTTCTATAAAAACTTTCATGGTAATTGTTCTGATGAACTTTGCTCTATGGTATCTAGACTTTATAAATTTAAGCATATTATAATCATTATCGCAACATTTTACAGTTGAATTGGCGACAGATGTAACAGTAAGTTCTATGCTAACAGTTTCTTTCCTCACAATTCTCACTTGTGGAACTCCCTTCCGACTCCATGCTTTTCAGCCAACTTTGATCTTCAAATATTTAAATGCAATGTCAATCGCTGTCTGTTGTCGTCCTGATTCCTCTTCTTTTATTTTTCTCGCTTCTTAGTCTTTTTTTCTTATTCTTTCACACTCAGTAACCCCCTTGTGTGTTAGTGGCTTTACTCCCTTGCATGGGATGAAATGATAAAAACACCCAGTTCTGCGAACATGTGTAATCTTAGTAAAGAGTTTGTGTGAATCGTTGCTGTCCCCCTGGATCCCATCACTCGACCAACGCTACTTAAGTAAACTGGTCCCCTTGTAAAGAATAGGGAAAATTCATTCGAGTAATAATGTGTGTATAATAGTATTTATTCGATCTTCCTGAAGACACGCATTTGAAAGAATCCCAAAATATTGATTTTTTATCGATTTCGAAGGGGTGTGCTGTTCATAATATTAATGCAGTGTAAAATCGATTCCTGACTTTTTTTGCGAATTATCTGGTCGTAACGAAAACATATTTTTTTACAAAAAATATTTCTTTTAAATGAAAAATAAACGGATATATACATATATACAAAAATTTACATAAATAAATAAAAGTATATGTCCGTTTATTCGTCATTTAAGATAAAGATTCCCTTCCAATGACTGTGCGTGTGTTTCCGAAAAGAAAATTACCCCACAATGTTTTTTTAGAAAATTAAAATATATGCAGATATCAATGACGTGGTCACAGTTAAAACTTGACATTTGTAAATAACAAAATATTGCTGAGTGTTTTTTCAGCATATCCGCCCTTTGTGGGTTATTAAGTCGAAATCTATTTGGGATTTAAGAATATTTCTTTGATGTTTGCATGTGAATATTTCATTAACAATTGTTATTTGAAGATAAAAATGATTTTCCTTATTCAAGTCTTACTATTTAATCCATAGGGAGGAGGCTGATTCGTATCTTTTCCAAGGGTATTTGCGCGTAAATGAATGTAATGGACCTGAGGTCGTCCCGCTACCGGATTCCTCATCCATTACAACGCCCGCATGCTCAAATAAAATTTAATTCTAGATGTCTATAAAAAAAAGGTCAGGCCTTAGTTTGTCACTGTATTTATATTATGAACAGGACCCCTTCTAAATTAATAAAAATCAATATTTGTTTTTCGATTCTGAAAAATGTCGTGGTTTGAGGAAGGTCTAAGGAATCCTAATCTACATATATTATTCCTCGAAAAAAATCTTCAGTTTTATTAGTGGACCACTCTATTTAAGTAGTCATTTTCAATTTAGGTCATAGAAATAATAAAAAAAGTGATGGCGATATATAATTTGGCTACTTTTAATCCAAGCACCCATTCTATTATAACTCTGCCCGTTCCTCCGTTCGTTAGTTAGCACGACCGTTACGTCCTGCTAATACCTCATAAATAATGGACTGTTCCGTTTTGATCGCGTGGAAAGAACGAAAAAGATACTACATGGTTTCAGTGAGTAAAATGAAATAAAAAGAAGGGAAGATAGAAATGGAGAGAGAGAGAAAATCAGGTTAAGCTTATAAGAACAAATACTACACATTGATCTTAGGCAAAAGGCCGAGAATCGATGTTTACTCGTTCCCCCACGAGGACGAGAAGGTCTTTTTAAAGTGGGGACACCCTGGCAAGGGACAAAAATTGCCCACAGACCCCCCCCCTCGCAACCGTCGGTTGCGCTGGCCTCGATGCGATCACCGATCCCACCCTCTGGTGCAATGGGAGGGCGCGGCCTCGGGCAGCTGTTCCCCAGTGCTGGGCACCTCTTCAGTATAATTTTCTCAGTTGCCTCTCTGTCCTTTGACACAGAAGCCTCTGAGCGCACTCCGCCCAAAGACAGAGACGCAACTGAGAGATGATAAGCCATCTTAGCCAAAAGGCCGAGAATCGATTGTATTTACTTGCTGCCCGACGCAAGCAGGATTTGACACAAGGTCAGTTTAACGGCGTGCCCGTACGCGTGCATCCGGGCCAGGTCCCAAAAATAGCAAACGCAACTGTCGGTTGCGCTGGCATCGGAAGTATTACCGATCCCCCCCACCCCCGATTTAGTGTAATGTGGGGAGGTACTGCCGCCGGCAACTGTTTCCCGAGACCGTGCACTTCGTAGTACTATTTCCAGATGCACTCTGTCTGTAGAGACACAACTGAGAGAGATGAAATGTAGTTTATCCACCCGAGAGCAGATACTACACTTTAATCCCACCCAAAGAACCGAGAAGCGGGTATTTTTCATTGCGCCCACGTCGCTACCGAATGTGACACAAGGTTAGTTTAAAATGGTTTTAACAGCAAAACTGTGATAAAATTGCCCAAACCGCCTCAGCACGTCCCCTTTTGGAGAACGCCTCAAGCGCTGGATAATAAACCCAGTTTTCTTCCGAAGTAGAGGTACTGCCTGGTGGAAAAACCCCAGGAGCTTGGGCTTAAATATTATTTGAACCAACCCGAGCTAAAAAGCCGAGAAGCGATGCGATAAAACCGCCATTTTTTAAACGCACAGTATCGAAATCCGGAATCCGAGTAAGGCAATCGCTAAAAATCCAGTTACCATAAATAAAATAACATCGTCTGTTGAATTATTTTTTTTTCAATTATTATTAAGAGAAATGTTCGTAAGACGGGGGTTTTGGTTAATTAACATTAATTCCCGAAGAGGATTGACGGATTCGAGAAACTGGCAACTTAGTAAACAAATAGATTATATATAAGTCACTCGAAACCAAAGACTATTCGTGCACTTTTAAGATCCCTGATAACCTATAAATAAAAAGTTCTGTTTAGTAGCAGGGCTATCATATCTATTTTTGTCACTTTGCGAAAGAATCACCTTCTAGAGATATTGTTCCTCGCACGTATTGATTTCAAGCGGCCCAGCTCGCTGAACCCAAGCCTTCCCACTCTAACGTTTCTTTTTTGACAGGAAAACCATTTTAGGCTTTGAGTATGTCGAGGTGGGGTGTAGGGCAACATTGAGGCAATAAACATTTTTTTTTAAATTACGTATTTTTAAAAATCCCTTTTTATTTGTTCGTAGTTTGGAAAATTAAAGGTCAGACTGGTACAGAACTTTCTAGCTTTTATTTTTCGGTAAAATATTTTATTCACACAAATTCATAGTATTATTATTAAGTAACCAAAGTTCTCCCACAATTTCATTGACCTTATGCCACCTTTCAGCTTAATTGCGTACTCCATAATGTTAATATAAAATTTTTCATCATTTTTCAAACCTTCTTCTTCTTTGTGTCGTGTCCTTTCAGGACATGAGCGATAATAGCTCTCCACAGCTTCCTACACGTTATAGCTCTTAGCAATGTTCGTCTGTTTGCTATCCTTCCTCCTCTTCCTTGTTCTACTGTCCATCTACACAAGCTCGTTGGGTAGGTTACTTGCTGTTTCCCTCTTACCTTTCATATGTCCTGTGAGTGGCAGATTTTCCAAGCCTTCTTTCCTCATTGTGTGTCCAAGGAATTTCAACTGTCTCTTTTGATTTTAAGTATTTGCTTCCATTTTCCTTAAAACATCCTCGTTGCTCACATGTTCTATCCAAGGTATTCTCAGCATCCTTCTGTAGAACCACATCTGTTACTTCATGTTTTTCTCTTCATCTGTTAGGAAATTGTCCAGCATTCACTGTCATATAGGAGAACTGATATTACATAACAGTTCAGCATATTTTTCAGATATAATTTTTTATTCATGGCATCATTATACACTAATTAAAGCATTTCCCCCATTTTGATGACCTTATGCCAACTTTCATTTAAATTGTGTATTCTATCATATTATACGCATTTTTCCATATTTTTTAAAAATAATAAATAAGATTTTTTCAAATTGTTTCAATGGCAGTCAAAGTAATACTTTTTTGCGTTCAGTCATTTGGGAGTCGACTGATTGTTTTTACGGTTTATCAACCCTTCGTGGATTATTTAAAGCTAAAACCTATTTTAATTTGTAAGAATAATTTCTTTGTTGTGCGCAGGCTTACAGCCTCATCAATTTGAAACACCGGTTCCCGTACGAACACCGCAGTTAAGCAACATTGAGCCTGGTAGGTATCTAGATGGGTTACCGCTTGAAAAATACCAGGTGTTGTAAGCTTGGATGTGCGGGTGATGTAATGGATAATGGCTCGGAATTGTTAATCGGAGAGCCGAGTTCAAATTCCAGTTGAGTTCATTATATTCACTATTATGCAAATACTTTTAGAAAAGGCATGAATCCACTTCTTCTCCTCGCTCAGCTATCGGTTAATTAATAAGACTTGTATCCCTAAATTATTATAATCCCCCCACACCGGCCACAAGAAAATTCTTACAATCTAAAAAAAATTTCTGGCTTTAAATAATCTGCAAAGGGTTGATAAGCCAAAGAAACGAATCAATCATCCTTTTTTGCGAGTAAATATTGCATTAGAAATTATTTTTGAAAATAACAATGATTTTTTCAGATATGTCCTACTATTTGACTCATAGCTGGGGGAGGGGAGATGGATTTATACATGTTCCAAGAATATCTGTATGTAAGTGAATGCAATGAACCTAATTGGAATTCAAACTCGACTTTCCGATTGGTGAGGGTCGAGTAATGCTCAAAGATATTTGCAAAATAAATTAATGACAGCTGCTTCCTCGTTTTACACGATTTTGTTTTGGCTTGTGGATGGCCCATAAGAGCCCCCTACTTTTGGTTAATCAGTGAAACACACACAGACACACACGCGCGTGCATGTAATGTAATTTTTCCTGATCTCGCATCCCGGATTTTTTTTTACATTGTGTTACTCAGAGAATAGGTTATCCTATTCTCAGCAAAAAGGGACGAATTTTTGCAAGAACCCTTATTTAGCTGGTTAGAAATAAATATTTTTTTCTTTGTAATTGAATCTGATTTGTATTTTTTCTTTCCTTTTTGTTATTCATTCGAGCAACAGTGAAAATACTGTTACAGAAGGTTTTATTTTCCGAAAGAAAAGAAAATTTCCAAAATCTGAGATGTCAGGTGAGGATCGATAAAATTGCAGATTCTTATTTGGATTTTGTCAAGAATTTTTAGATCTAGACCTTATGTGGCAGCAATATTTAATGAACGGGCGAATGGTAAACATACAATGGTGCAAGACAGATTTTGTCGAAAATAAAAGCGCCCAGAACGATACAGTAAGGAATGTTTAGAAAGAATATTACAAATTTTTGTTACGCATTAGACAAACATTCACGAATTTAATATATATTTATTGTAATGTACATAATAAAAGTTACACATGGAAGAGTAAAACAAGTTCTTACGTCTGTAGTAATTCCCTTGCTTATTTTGGCTCGCAATTAGGTCAGTGTGAATAACCCAAACTGACCTTTTGATTGGTTAATACTGAACAATGTAAAGAGCGTATGAATTTGCTACCCCTTCTGGCAGCCAATCTCTCTCTCTATCTCTATCTCCATCTCTCTATCTATCTATCTATCTATCTATCTATCTATCTATCTATGTATTGTAAAGTTGAAATATAACTTGTGATTATGCTTTGAATAGAAGTGAAAAAGGATTATGTGTTACTCAACAAGTAATATTTAACGTTTGCTTATGCAATTACTCCAGAGTTAATTCCTAAATAATTGTCGCAGAGCAGAAAATAATCGTTATCAGAAAAATAAGCCCTCTAACCTTCAAAAGGATTTGAAAATTAATCATCTTGCCTTTGTTCTTTATAAAGGATATTATCGTTTATTTTTTAACTGTTACAAAAGTCGTTCGCATTGTTCAAATGCTTGAATCTCATTTTTGTATAGTTCAGTCAATTACTAGGCATATTGAGAACTTTAACCCATAAATATAGCATTGTGGTGAACAAAACAAGATCGAGATTTAAAATCCAAATGTTAAGCACTGACTCATTGATTTTGTTAGAAATTAAAAAGACTCGAATTTACAAACTTTGCTTGATTCAAAAGCGAATCTAAAACAAATCTCGTGAAATTTCACAACTTGATGCGATACGTTTTTCAACCAATAGAAAACTAGGAAACATTTAAAAACAAAATTCAAATAATCTTCAATTCTCAAAAAGAAATTCTTTTACGGACCTTTTCGCGAGCCGACGTGAAGTTTGTTCGTCGTCCAATGGAAAGGCCCGAATCATATCCTGGAGTGAATTCCCAAATGACCTTTTCAAAGCCCCACAAACAAAATAAAAGACGGGCAAGTTCACCTGTCACCAGAGAGAAGGAGACTAGCGTATTAACACGTCCCTTGACAACGGTCAAGCGATCGTTATTATTATCTCTGGCTTTCTCCCTCACCTCTTTTATATTTGATAAACGAACAGAACATTTTAAGACTGAGCGCTTACTTCAAAGACATTCCTACCCTTCGATACAGCTCATACATGCACACATACGTTCTTGCCTACGTACACATAAACTCATTCTTTCAAGGATTACTACGAACATTTTGATGACCTTGTATCAACCAAAATACATTAATTATAATTGTAAAGACCTTAATCGATTTATATGTATATAAATTTGTTGTTTCACTTTACAATTTGATTTTCTTGTTTTATAACCCCCTTATGGTGGGCTATCTAACTAACAAGACCAAATCAAACTAATCTGTTTCCACACTGATACACTTCATTATAACTGATAACCCACTATAGCATACCTTAAAACTATACTTTTATCATATAAATTTATGAATATAATAAAAAATGAAACAGATAGACCTTGCCGGTTCTTTTTAACCATATTTGTTTGGATGAATACTTGCTACCTAAATATACCTTATTTCAATTCTCTGGTAAGTATTCCACAAACAAAAGTGTTGTCATAGCAATCGTTAAGACTGACGTCAACATAGGCTACGTAACTGGGCTGGGGAATTCCCACCCCTGGCAGATGAGGTCACTTACAAATGCTGCACATCACCTAGGAACTTTCACCTGAAAAACATTTGGATTTTGGAGGTTTTCAGATAAAGGATCAGTCAGTTATGTGCCATGCATGATACACACTTAGGCGATCATGTAGCTTTCGATACATGACTGACGAAGTGGTTTTCCCCGCAGTAGGTTTCCATTTCTTTCTGCAGTAGACCAGTTGCCATCTATGACAACTCGGTCTGTCCTGCTATTTACCTAAAGCTGGGGTGGGGGGCGAAGAAGAAGAGGGTATTAGCACGTAAGTGAAAATAATAGATTCGACTGGAATTCGAACTCGGCTCCACCGATTCGCCAAACCGAGCCGCTATCCATTACTCCGCCGTGACTCATTATCATTACCCTTCTATAAGTAAGAGCAAATATACAACGAAGGCACGGCGGAGTAATGAATAGCGGCTCAGAAGAGAATCGGCGAGCCGAGTTCGAATTCCAGTCAAATCCATTAAAATTACTTATGTGCTAATACACTTGAGAAATGTATGAATCCCTCCCCACCCCCTCTATGGATAAAGAGACCAGTTTCTATAGCCTTAGATTACTTCAGAAAGAAATGGCAACCTACTGCAGGAAAAATTCTGTCTCGTCAGTCATGATCGCCTAAGCGTGTATCGCACCTGGCGCATAACTGACTGAATAATTAACCGCTTCTTTATAATAAAAATAAATAGGTTCGCCGCGTTCACACTCCTCCCCGATTTTTTTAATAGTAGACGTTTATTACTAATAAAGGGTTCAGTTCGAAAATCCAGTCACCTGAAGAAGGCCGGAGCGTATAACGGCCAAAACATCGTGAATATGATAACAAAGATGAGGAAAACAGTCCGAACAATGTAAATAGTGTAAACACCTACTTCCTGTTTAAGATTGGGTTTTTGGTTCCTTCTGGGGTTTTATTATCATTCTCTTTCACCGCCAGTACCCACCCCCATTGCGTCTTAGTGGCATTATCGCCTTACTTGGGGTGAATTAATTATATAGGCCACGGGAAGGGGAATTAAGGGAATGTGAAGGAGGCTCCCTTCTAGTTCTTTTGTTTAGAACTAGTTCATACTGTCTCTATCTGTAAACATTCTATCTCAGATATTGAGAACAATTCCCCAATAAATACAACACATTTTAAACAACATTATGAATATAATTATATTTATGTGTGTCTGTCTGTATTTTCTTTTTTTATTGATCTTATCAATTAGTCGCTATTGACTTTAATGAGAAGATCTACTATTGTGTGAACAGATTTGATTTCCTGCTAAGTGTAGACTTACCTACCTACTTCGTCTGCTGACTTAGTTTCCAACTCGTATTTCGTAATCGGCTTTTCTTGTCTCTGCTGGAAGTCAAGGAGAGAGGCCAACGTTTCTTTTCTTTACCTCGACCTCATCAACTCACGGCTTTTGTTTACTTTGGAAAAAGGAAAATACCAAATCTTAGCAATAGTAACAATAATAAAAACAATAATGATAATAATAAATAATGGCAATAATAATAACATTAATAATAATAACAAATAATAATAATAATAAAATAATGGTAATAAATATAAAATAAACACATCCCATCTCCCCTCTCGCTTGTAACCATCCACTATAATAAAAATAAACGTTTTCAATACTAAAGCTGAATTAGTCATCAAATAAAGCTTCCTAAGTTTCTACTTAGTGTTATTGCTATATTATTATACATAATTACAATAATAATAATAACAATAATATCTTGATAAACCTGTATAAATATAAATATAATATTTTAATAATAAAAAGAGAAATTTGGCAAATTTTTAAAATATAAGAATCTAGAAATGGAAATTGCAAGAATTTAAACAAAATAATGATTTCACTAATAATGGTGGCTGGCCGCACGTATTCGAGGGTGCATGTCTACTAGGGTGGCTCTCCAATCCCTTTTGAAGACGCCTGCTCAGGCACATTTGTGTTTTTCCAACACCTAGAGAGCCCACCTGTGGTTTATGCTGCAAATATGCTGAGCAGACCTTAGTTACAGTTTCTGAGGAAAACGTGGCCATGTTCAGGCTCTTGATCATGCCAGTTAGTGCACTCTCTAAATTTATATATATATATTTTTAGCTTCCATTTTTGAAACATGGTTAGAACTGTGTAGCGGAAAAAAAACATATTTTAAATCAATTAATTTATAATATT